AAGGTAAAAATGGCTTCCAAGTGAGCCTAAACTCTTGGATTTTTTCAAAATTCATTGTTTCTAAGAGGGCTATGCTCAAAGCAGACACATTTTCAAAAAAATTCTGCTTTGAGCATAACCCCCAAGAAGCAATGTTGAAAAATGTGTGCATTGATGATTTCAACCTTTGGATTTGTTTTTAAACCTCAAGAATCAAATTTGAGTTGCAGGGGTTGTGCTCAAGGCAAAATCCATTTTCAAAGAATTTTTGCTGTTAGCATAACCCCCTAGAAAACATTTTTGAAACTTGCAATTTACCCTCTTTAAAATTTAAATTAAAGCCTCAATTCATCCTTTTAATCATGTCAGTGCATAAAACTACTGTCTAAGACACAAAACTATTTTTTTCCCTTTAAAAAAAAAAATTCGAATTTTTCAAATTTTCTGGAACGCATTAAACGATTTCCCATACAAGTCTATGGGAAATCGTGATTCGCAGTAAGAACGTTTCATACTAAGAACGTAGCTCCGGAACGGATTACGTTTGTAGTGCGAGGTACCACTGTATACAAACTGAAAAACACCAGCACCTGGTATTTTTCATTTTTCCAACTTCTGGGGCTCTCCAAAGATATTATCCAACCCTCCCTGTCGATTTTTTAGCATAAAAACCCCTGATTTTGGTGCTGACGACACAGTCCAAAGTTTGCCGTCAAAGCGTTTTGTTGCGTCGTGAATCTCGTACTTTGCGGAAAACCTCAAAAACTCTGTGAAAACTGTTGTGAATATTTTTTATTGCGGAAACTGTTTTGCATATTTGTTGTCTTGCTTATCTATTTTTCTGTTGAAGTATCTAAACAAAGGCTTGCGCTTTTTGGGAGAGAATCCCTGGTCAGTTTGCGCACCAGCCAATTGTTGTGTTGAATTCATTTTTATCATTTACACCTGTCCTCAGAGAATCGTCTTTTAGCTAACTCATAAGTACTCAATTAACTTCTGTTAACTTAATTATTCTAAATAAGTACTTGCAAGGTGTACAGCTTGCTTAAGATTCTTCTTCTTCCCAAATAAAACCTTACAGAAACATTTGCTGTTTTGAAATCTCATTCTCAAAATGGGCAGACTGTACTTCACTAGGCTGCATAAAACTTTCATCAAAACATGGCATATAGCCATTATTTGAGAAATTTTCCCAAATTGATGCTAGTAGAATATTAACAGGTCTTCATCTAATTTGACCTCCCAATAAAGATGGTCACAATCTGAAGTGCAAAGAATTTTCCTGAATTCAAAAAACCATGCTTCATTTTCTTCTAGATTGTGTGTGTTACATCTAGAAACTGTTTTTCATGAAATGAAAATTCAAAGAATATCCCTAAAAGAGATGTTTCTGCTTCTATAAATGTCAAAGGTTCTATTTGAAAGCCCTATTTGAAGAAATTTCAAGATTCAGTAAAAGACAGAAAGAGCCTTTGAGAGAATGAAAACTTCAACTTTTTCTAACATCTGCTTTCTTCTGAAGCTGTCTTTTGCACTGTCAGATCCTATCAAATATGATACACAATCTGAGAGGCATGTCTTAGGTATGCCCTGATTCCCTGACATAAATAACTTTTTCTAACATCTGCTTTCTTCTGAAGCTGTCTTTCACTGTCAGATCCTATCAAATATGATACACAATCTGAGAGGCATGTCCTAGGTATGCCCTGATTCCCTGACATAAATGGGTCCTTGCTAGCCCTGATTTTTTCTCTCCTGATTGTATGGGTTTGACTAAAACATACCTGCATTTAAAAATTATATTTAAATGACCATTTAAAAAAATTGCTCTATTCCACTAACTTCTGAGATCTTCAGGCATTTTTTGAATGATTGAAATAGTTCTCTGCTTGAGACATGAAGAGTTCTCTGATTTCTCCATAGTTCATGATTGTACATAGATTTTTCGAAATAACAACGGCTACCCCGTTAAAAGAGTCTGTGAAACTCACAAAAGTAATAACCCTTTTCAAATACCGATGGTTCTTCAGTATAAAGACCTCTTACCAACCTACTGAACGTAAGCATTGGCTGTCAGGTGACTTTTTCAAAAGTGCACCCACCTGTCAGAGATTTGGACCAGTCCCTCACCCAGATTCTGTCTTTGTCTGAAAGTAGCTGGGAGTAAGCCCTGAAGCTGTCTCTGATGATGGCTTTCAGCCCCTGCTCCTGGCTGGTTGGAGTGGCTGTGCAAGAGGTCAGACTCCTCTGAAAAGAGGCATGCATATAGCAATATGTGTGGTAGGGTGCCCTGAATGGAAGGGACCTTTCTATCGTTGCTAGATGCAGCCCCAACCATGAGGACTTGAAAGCTGAATTTTTGGTGATACTGGAGGAGAATTTGCACAAGACAATCCTTGTACATATGCAAAATGATTCAAGCTTGGATCTCAATGGATAATCATAACAGAGCAAGATGTTTTCTGTGAGAATACATTTTTACAATGACATTATATTGATTTTTGGTCAAATGGCGAATTCTCCCCCAAAATATCATTTTTTCTTTTCTTTGGCATCTACATGCAACTTATTTCTTTTTTTCTATTTTGAAGTGATTGAATGTCTTTGAAAGAATTTGAGTTGGGATTGGGTTCTGGATGTGGGAATGCTTT